TAAAAATTAAAACGACTGATCTAAAGTTAAAGGCGAGTTTTTAGTGAGATAATCGTTAGAGAGTCGAATTTTTTATTTTTATGTTTATCGGGACTTCCGAATTCATAGTTTTTAAATTGTAACGCTTCATGCCCAATATTCAAAATCTAGATTCGGCACATAATATTCAACATAGGTCGTTACAAATGGTATCAAAGTGCTATCATTTTCAACCAGATGTAGTTCGAAGATGAATTAAGGCGAAAACTTGTGGGCATATGACACCTAAGTAAAGTACTGGTCCATCAATAAATTTAGACGATATTTGAATGAGAACAATTTTAAAGGTAAAACGACAAAAAATGATTAAAAAAATTGAAATTTACTGCCTTGTCCATCGTTATATTGAGTGGTTGAAGTTCGTATAATATACTACATGTTCAAGCCAACGTAAGATTAGTTTTGTAAGTAGTGTCCAAATCAGTACGAGCTTAGTTTAACAGTAGTTTACATCAATATAAATCCCGAAACGTCCCCATTTGTTAACCTAAAAAAAAAAAAAGTACATCTAGTGAATAGCAAAGCCACAAAAGAAAAGGAAACACCCACGTGAGTGTTTGATCATGAGAGCATCTTTTGGATATGAGAATGAGATGAAAGCGTACGACTTTATTGAAGATGAGAATGTGACTCATATTGATTCTTGGAAGATATCATAAAATAGTGATTTATACATTTTTTTAGTGACAATATGCATCAATTAGATAGTTTTAATATACCCCACAAAGATTTCATTCTTACCTCTTTTGTATATCCATCATTCCCAACCATCCCTTGTCTTTATTGAAAATTGGATGAGACCAAAGAGGTTTCCAAAATATAAATTATTCCCCCGGGAGGATGAACAGTGTCTTCCTTTATCTTATGTAATAGTCCAAGCCTACTACTAGTAGATATTGTTCGCTTTGACCTATTACGTATCGTCATTAGCCTCACGATTTTAAAATGCGATTGCTAGGGGAGGTATTCACACTCTTATAAGGAATGTTTCGTTTCCTCTCCAACCGATGTCGAATCTTACATCTTATTTTAGTGTTCTTACGAACAGTAATACGAGACAAAACTGTGAGAAATTTAGAAAACTACTAGTGCAGGTTAGTTCCGTTCCTTAGTATCAAATGAAAAAAAAGCAGATGAACTAACCTAACACTGTTTAGTTCAAAAAGCATCCCCCATCATCCTCATTGATCCTGTTTGCCGAAGAAAGAGAAGAATAAGCTAGGAAGGGGCCCGTAATTGACACGTATTCCTTCTCTTAAGATTAGAGGTTCAAATTTATGTGCTCTCATGGCTATACTTTTGTTTTTTTCCAAAGAGACTCGTATCAATGGAGATAGTATCTCTTACTTATATATCCTTTTTTTCTCAATTAGCCAACGTGGGACTCAAACCATCCTCCTCTAGAACAAAATACACAGTTAACCTTCCTCTTAAACAATCATTTATCTGTCTAAAACTATCTGGACAACTCCTCTTCTTTGGAGAACTCTACCACGAATCTTCACTATGATCCTACGCCTTCGAGACTCACAAAGACTCCTTCGAGGTCACAACTTCTTGGATCTTCACTATGACTACATCTTCAAAGTTCAAAAATTTTGTTCGACACTTAAAGCCACTATTGACTACACTTTTGAGGATTATATTGACACTAAACCTCTTAAAATTTTGGGGAAAAAAAACTACTCTCGAGTACTAAAACAGTCAAATCTAGCTATAAAACGTCACACGACTACGAAAATCAAAACCCACAAAATTACTCTTATCCAATACAAAACGCAATATATCTGATATAAAATTCAAATCGTTAAAATTATTAGGATTAAAATGATATGAAATCTAAAATATTTTAAGAATAAAGTAGATTTTACCAATCACAACCAAAGTTAACTTATAAAACAACTATATTAGCAACTAGTGTGAGTGGAAGATGTGTTGTCATTGAGTGTTTATGCAATTAATTATTAGGCAAAGTCTCATAAGATGAAAGCCATCAGCATCAAATCTTTATGCATGATGTATTCATTAATGATGAAAACAATTTTAGTTTAAGTCCAAAAAGGCTTATCATTATCTCTTTATGATTTCATCCAAGATCAAATCATAATCATTCTTTAGAGATAATTAATTCTACACATTTTTTTTATAAGCATAGCAATCTCGTGTTTCCTTTAATGACATACGAAAATTTTGTTTAAGATTTGTTTTCTGAAAATCAGAAACAAAAAATCTACAGAAATTGATATTAAACAAAATTTGTTATTTAGTTTATACGTGTAATGTTACATGGATTTGAACTTCTGATTTCGAAAAAAAATGAGTACATGTGAATTGTCGTTGAGTTATACTCCGCTTTGACTATAATGACCATTTCCATATACATATTGATAAAGTAGTAAATATGTTTTGAAAACAAGTAAGAACATGTTTGGGTACTCGAAAAGCACATGAGCTCTTTAATCCCCTTTATCTAGTGGAAATGACCAAGAGCCTTCTAAATAGGGTCTCTGCCCTGTAAACCCACCCGGAGAGGGGACGAGAAACTATGCAAGTAACTTAGTAGGTGACAAGTACATAAGATTACTACTCTAAACTCGGGGTGTTTTATGGCAACGTGGAATGGTCTGCTAGTTACCTTTCATAGATTATATTTAGATTAGTAGGTGTCGTACTATCTATAAGACTCATTGAGCTAGGTCTCAACCCAAGATATTGGTCATTCACTAGTGTGACAATGCAAGCTCATTAAATCTAAATAACAAAAAAAAAAAAAATGTAGTTCAACCCAAGATGAGATACTTCGAGCATTGAAATTATGGTAAAAAACCATCGAATGGAGATCAAAAAGGCAAAAACAACTCACCACGCACTTGTCACACGGCCTGTGCACACGTTCCTTCACGTGACCACACGAAGTTACCTCTCACACGCATCTTCTTTTTCTTTTGAATTTTGGAGTTAGGTAACAAGAGTTCGATCTCCTATGAAGGCACCTGCATATGAATTTCAAACACCAAAATTTTCAAAGTTCTAAAATTTCTTTCGGAAATTGTGATCTTTCCTAATTTCTCCCGACTTTCATAATCCATTCAACTTGGTTCCTTCATCAAATTTAAGAAATCAAGACTAGAAATTTATTTAAATTCTATTAAATTTAAATTTTAAGACTAAAAATTTATTTTTTTTATTACTATTTTATGGAACTTATACTCTAGCCGGCACGACAGTGACACAATCAATTTATATAATACGTCATATATTTGTAGACCCCATTTAGCACTAGTGGAGGCGTGACTTTAAAAGTATTAAATGAATTCCACTATTCATAGTACTATTAAGAAATATACAACAAGTGTTAAAATAATAATAAGTTATATTGCTATGACACATGCCTAGGATCCTAATCCGAATTGTATGGCCTTTATATTCGTCTGTATCTTCTATGACATGGTCACGTTATGAACTATTCTGTAAATTAATACAAATTTTTTCAGCAAATTTTGTCCTCACTCACACGCTTTCTAGGAAAATTCTCGAGAGATCACTCACTATAGAGTTATTCCAATTGAATTACGCGTACTGAAAAGAAAGGTGCACCGACACCTTTTTGGTATAGTATTATCAAGATTACTCTCATTTTGATATGATTTCAGTTATTCAAGTATCTTTCCTTTTCTCAATTGTCACATTCCCACATCTTATTCAGAGAAGTAAGGCTCTAATACCACCTATAACGCTCCATGCCCAAGATTTGAATTTTGGAATTGACACCTTTGTGCCCCAACATTCCCCTACAATCGGGGCACATTACTTATCACGTCTAAAAGTGGGTCATTTCAATGTGCTATGTCTTTACTTACATTAGATTACGGAGCCGGCCGCTTACTTATTTATAGCGTTATATATGGTAAATGACATATTATACATATATATATATGGTAAATAAAGTTATATATGGTAGATAGTTATATATAATAAATGATTATATTCGGTAAAGCTATATAGATAGTAACCATATATATAACCCTTACTCTAAAGATTTAAATTCTTTGTATTTTTTATTACCTTATACTTCAATTCATCAAATAAATCTCTAGTGAATATTTCTCCTTACATTTTCTCTCTTCTATTCTCGGTTACTCCTTACATTTTCTCTCTCTTATGTTCTTTATGTTCAGCTAGATCGAGTGTGTGTTATTGTGCGATCTTAACAATTACTATCAAAGGTAGGCGAGATTCACCACAGTGAAGATGGAAAGCTCAATAGAAGAATTGAGATTCACCACAAGACCAAGGAGTAAACAGAATCATAAATCGGAGGATGATAATGATTCTATAAATTCAGCAGAAGAATTTAGGATGTTTTAGTTCTCAGCGTCGGCAGCCCGATTGAATCGATGGTGTCAGGTATATTTTTAGTCTCAAGAAGAACCAGATTTTTCTATTTGTCAGGTTTGAAGTCATCGATATAAACCCTTAGTCAATATTCTTCCTTGCATTTTCTCTCTCCTATTCTTCGTTTAGATCGAATGCGTGTTCTTTGTATTCATCTAGATCGTGTTTGTGTTGTTGTGCGATACTAAAACCTTTTTTAATCATCCTATCTTCAAGATCACTTTCATTCAAAAATGGTATCGATACATTCATATACCCTCCTTTACTCGGGATCATATAAACATTTATTAAAACTGACAATATTAAAATAATTGGATTAAATAGAGACAAATCTAAAAGTTTGCACGATCTAATCTAATAAAACTATTTATATGATCAAATTTAAAATTTAACAAAATATACGTTACTTTATCTGCCACTAACTAAACTTTTGTGTTCATTTCTTTATTTGATTATGAAAACATGTGTTTTTGAAAGAATATATAAACAAAACTTTATAGATAAGTTCACACACATAAATACGCAAACTTTGCACACCAAATCTTTCAATTTCTTGAGAAGCTTCTTCAATTAACACAACAAAGTTAATGGATAACGAAGAACATTTCAATGGATCATTCTCAACTCCATCTTCTCAAGATTGGAATTCCGAGCTTCTCAACGATCATCATCTCTCAACGCTTCTTGATCCAAATCACAGGCTTCACCATTGCACACCACAAGCCAATCAACAGGTTTCCAATCTTTTTGTACCTTCAACTCTATTTTTCTTCTCTTTTAAGACTGACCAACAACCTCCTCAACTGACATGTTGGGAGAGGAGTCGAGGGGTCGATCGTGTTTTTATAAGTAAGGAATACTATCTCGATTGGTATGAGGCCTTTAAGCAACCCCTGAGATCTTATGCTCAAAGTGGACAATATCATACCATTGTGACAGACTAAACCTTTGTTCTTTGTTGTTGATGAATGATTTCAATATATATTGGTAGGAAGAGTTGATGGAAACCCTCATGAAGTTGCCCGCAATTGGATTAAAGCTTCAAATTTCACCCTCTTTGATGAAACAAATGCAACGAAGAACACAATCCAAAAGGAAGAGGATAAGCCTTGAACAAGATAGTGAAAGGTTGAAGGCCTCGACTTTAGGTGCATTGATGCTTCAAATTGGTTCATGGCAGGTAATGTTATGAATCTTCTATGAGGAGTCTCACATTGGCTAATTAAAGATCATTGCATTTTGAGGAAACCAAAGTAAAGTCGTGAGCGTTTATGTTAAAAGTAGGCAATGTTATACGACTGTGGAGGGATGTTTTAATGTTTGTATTTTATGTGGCACCAACGTTGTAAAGATGTCTTGTTTTGTTGGTGTGTTTTGTTTGTGGTTCAGGTAGTGGCTAGAAATGAAGGTGACTTGGTGGCGAAGTTCTATTTTGCAAAGAGGATGCTCGTGTGGGAGATTTTGAGAAATGGGTTGAAAGAAAAAGTTGAAATTGAATGGTCAAATATTATAGGAATCCAAGCTTTCATGGAAGAAAATAAACGAGGAATCTTGGAAGTCGAGGTAATTACTCCTAAAAACGTAGTAGACCTTCGCAATATTTTTTTTTTTTGCACATATCGAAAATGTCAAAACTAAGATTGTACTTCAAAATCAGTATATATTGTCCTCTTTAAGCTTTTTTTTTCAAGTTTCCACACCGTTGTAAGAAATGTTTCATTCCCCTCTCCAATTAATGTGGGGTCTCACAATCCACCCCCTGGGAGTCGAACGTCTTTGCTGGCATACCACCCAATGTCTGACTCTAATACATTTGTAACCGTTCAAACCCACCACTAGCATATATTGTCCTCTTTGGGCTTTCCCTTTCGAGCATCTTCTCAAGATTTTTAAAACGCGTCTACTAAGGAAAGATTTCCACATCTTTAAGAAGAATGCTTCGCTCCCCTCTCCAACCGATGTGGTATCTCACAATCTACCCCCTTTGGGGCCAGCATCCTCGATGGCACTTCGCCTGATGTCTGGCTATGATACCATTTGTAACAACCCAAGCCCACTGGCGAGCAGATATTGTCATCTTTGTTATTTTCGTCTATAAGGGAGAGATTTTCAAATTTTTATAAGAAATGCTTGGTTCCCCTCTCCAACTAATGTGGGATCTCACAATCACGTCTACCATTGACTTGCCATCTGAAATTATTTTTTAGTTTTAAGAGATTCATCCCAAGTAACAAATATATTTTTATTATCGGTCATCTTACAACCACGGTCAAGACACCATGTAAACTCTACGACATTGACTCGAGCACTACATATAATTACTCCAATTTTCATAGTTATTTGATTATGAGACGGGTTGTTTACGATTCACCCCGTTTTTTCCTTTTTGGGGTTTTTCAGCTGCACCAGCCGCCAAAATTCTACAAAGAAATCGAACCCGAGCCACGGAAACACACGCAATGGACCGATGGATTAGATTTTACAGATGGTCAAGCTTATGTAAACAGGTTTAGTTCGTTTTGGTGATCACATGAGATGAATTAATGATCAAGAGATCTATATAGTTAACACATTTATGTTGTTGTCCTAAACTTTTAGGAGGCATTGCATTGTGTTTCCTCCAAGAGTGTTGGACAAACACTATCAGAAACTAAAAGATAAGGATGAGCGTTTGTTCTATATAGTTAACACATTTATGTTGTTGTCCTAAACTTTTAGGAGGCATTGCATTGTGTTTCCTCCAAGAGTGTTGGACAAACACTATCAGAAACTAAAAGATAAGGATGAGCGTTTGTTCGAGTTGAGCCGAAGGCCATTTCCCACATTCAATTCGCCCTATTTCCCCTCGGAAGCTGTTTTCAATCAATTTTCTCCTATTCAATTTGAAGAAATATACTGTGAGTAAATAAGCTTGACTTATATATGATTTAGTTTTTGCTCGTGGAGTATTTTTAAGAGAAGTTATCATTTCATTCTGTTTCGGTTATTGGTTCTGGTGTCCTTCGACCAAGGGTCAAAACCAACCAATTATAACTTTTGTTTTCTTAAAATTTTATCTTATAGTTGTTGATTACACGCCACATTTGAACGAGAACGAAACCCACCAAGACCGAAGAATGGAGCTGATGAACAAAGTAAACACCATGAGAAGATATGGAATTGAAGCATCAGCCAATTACTACAATGAGGGAAAGGTAGTGAACAATGAGTATGATCAAGGTTTTTACAATGCAAATCCAAAGCCTTCTATGGTTTGGCTGGCTCAAAATAGTGAACATGAGAGCCCTTCAAGTTCAAAGTGGCCACTTTTTTAGTGATCACACTTAATCAAATAATACCCTTACAAAAATCTAAAACAATAGAGATACAAAATAAGTATTATTTCAGATATGTACAAACGGAGAATGGGTGTGGGAGAACCACCCAAATGAAATACAAAATAACATTGACGCTCCAGGTTGACACGTGGTAGCACAGCTCCCGAGCACCAACCCACCTTGACCGATACCTGAAAAATAATAGAGGAAATGGGTGAGTATAAAATACTCAATAAGCATCTTACCTGTAGGTCCTCATCGCATCCTCAATCTAATATGTTTCCACAGGCTTGTTATAGAGTTCTAAGAAGTTCGAGCCTAGTTGAAGTATTCCCTGAATGTTACCTCACACCAGAGTGGTGTCTATCATGTGCTAATCTATTTGTATAGTCCCTTGTCTTCTCTCATAGTGGGTTTCCCACACACACAATAGTAGCTTCTCAATATATTACTTATGTGGTTTTTCGTTCACTCTCAGTCGAGTTTGTTCTATAGACAATAGTATATCTTCAATCAACAACCTATGTAGCCCCTCGTCCCCTCTCAAGGCAGGTTAACATACACGCAATCGTGATTTCTCATTCTATCTAATTATGTAGTCCCTTGTCCCCTCTCAAGGTGGGTTATCGTACATACCGTAACAATTTCTCATGTCACCCACTTATGTAATCAAGCATCTCTTGTCAAGGCGGGTTATACTCTAGACATAGTGGTGGGTTTTTGAGTCGTTATTTATGTCATCCCTTATCCTCTATCAGGGCAGGTTATATCCTACACAAAGTGACTCCCTAAATAATTTCGTTCGTCAGGTGATTGGTCGCCTCAGCCAGATGAATTTTTCCTCCGCGCTCACGAATTCGTCTAGTGCAAATTTTTAGATTCTGATGATAAAATATAGTTCAACGTATGTTCTTTAGACTTTCATATCTTCATGCACACAACTCAGATTGAATTAATTTCTTCACGAAAGTTGTAGAGTTTCATCCCTCTATACAATGTTGTTTTGATGGAGAAAAACGATGTTTTGATGGAGGCGGAAATCGTTGACGAGAAAAAAGTCGAAGGAAACCTATTAAAAGAAGAAAATAATAGAAAACAAAGGAGAGAGACAATTGCCCTGAAGACGGGATGATCTTATCACTGTCTACTTCCCACTCACAATTAATTGTGTAGGTTTAACCGGAAAATAGTTACTAAAGAATAGTAACTAAAAACTAAGAATGATTTTCAATCTCGGAATTTATCTAACATACCATAGTATTCTTTTTTTCTTTTAATAATTGTTAGATACTCGCTTATTAATATAAGTACACTCAAACATTGAAATTTATGCCTTCTTACAATTTTTGGAGGCTTCTTCGACGTCCTACTTTCCTTGCGATTTTATTTCGATTTCCTTCACAAAAATGTGCAAAATCATACTAAGATCAACCTACTAAATTTATAGAGACTAATTCATACATTTGGTGACCAATCTTGAGAAAAACTGAGACCTAAAATCCCATGGGACTCACGTTCTTGACAAAATAGAATGAATCCAATGCCTCGAATGAAGCTCCTCTATCTACTTAGAGTTTCTTAAAAAAAAGGGTGTTTTTGATGTTTATGCTTATTTTTTCCTTTCTAAAATTTTGTTCAAAGGCCTTGTGTCCTTATAAACAACTTGATAGGGCATTGAAATTCTCTTTGTTGGAGCCCTTAAACCATTCTAGTGCCTCTGAAGCTTCTTGATCTTACAAACCAAACTTACTCGAGGATCATAACCTTGTGGATCTTACAAACCAATTTCTAAAGCTTCATGGAGAATAATGATAGAGGTTTAATGAACAAACAAACGTAAAATACATGCTAGAGAAAATGGATGAGGTCGAGTTTCAGACCCTTAAAACCGTGGTGCTTGCATCTCTTCCCTTTCTATAGGTAGGAGATGATGACGCGGCCGGTTCAACTAAACCAACCACCCCTTTATTTTACTTAATTTAACTAAGCTTCCAAACATGATAGAATTAGTAGTCAGCTCAAAATTCTCACAAACTTACTTGTAGGGATCAATTAGATAAGCCTTCAAAAGTTAATTTTACTCAAGTCTAAGTGAACAGGAAGAGTTTAGGACGTGAACCACACATTAAGGACATAATAAATTGTCTTACTCGGTAGTAGGGGTGCACATGGTCCAAGTTGGGTTGAGTTGAGGGATTTTTTTAGACCAACCCAGAAGTTCGGGTTGGTTGAATTGGTAATCCAACCCAACCCCAAAAGTTTCACAACCTAACCCAACCTAATCCTCTATTTCCTGGTTGGGTTGTCCGATTGTTAAAAAAAAAAAAAAAAAAAAAAAAAAAATCTTAAAAAAAAGTTTATTTATCCCCAATTTATAATTATTCGATACAATCTTAGATAAAATAAAAATGTTTGAACCTTCGCAAATAAACACAAATCAATTTATAATCATTCAAAAAACAAATTCATTAATAAGAACAAATAAAATTGTAGCTTCTTAATATAGTTAGAGAGCCTTGAAAAAGTTATTACTTTAAAAATGCTATATAACAAAAATAAAAAATACTATAAAAATATTTTAATTGAAATAGATTTAGAAAAGTCCTAAAGTATTAGAAAAATAAAAATGTATATAAAAGTTGTGATATAATAACGATAGATAATAAATACATTAAAATTTATAATTACTTGTTTCATTTTTATAACAAAATCTTTAAACCTATTGAAATCCAATTTTATTCCAATAAAAATGTATATATTAATTTATTCCAATAACGTGTTTTAAAATAGTATAAAATATTAAGGTATTTAAAATATATATATATATATATATATATATATATATATATATATATATAAAAGAAACTAAACAAAATTAGATAATTAAAAGAATTAATGTATTAGACTAGTGTCTAGCATGAGTGTCTTTCCTGAGGCGGAAGTACTCATTATTACTATAAACTTCTTAATATATTTTATATATTTTTATTTGGCTTAATCGAAGGTTTTGTCCCATGAACTTAAAATCGAATCGAAATCGTTCGGTTTCAGAAAAATAAACCTAACCCAACCCTTATAGTTCGGGTAGGTTGGTTCGAGTTGTTAGGTTGTCGGGTTGAATGTACACCCTCGAAATTTGTCTGCAAACTCGAATAGCTGAAAAATAAGAAATTTAAATTAAATTATAGTCTCCTCAATGGCATTTTCGTAATTTCGCATCATCGACACTTTTATCACAACATTCTTTTTATGGAATTTGTTCCAATAATTTTTCTATTAAGTAAATATATATTTATGAGAACACAATACTTTATTTATTGTAACAAAACATTGTAATATCGATAAAAAAGAGTTATGGGTATCCATTTTGAACCCTATGAAACTTTACATTGGCAAATGGCAGGTAAAGTCTTTTCTTAAGCTTTTAAATTTTTTATTTTTCTTGTTTTTGTTGCAGGTTCTGCCGTCGAACACGAACAAATTGGTCGTAAAGGGCTTATTCGTCAAGAAGCAGCTATGCTATGAGATCTCGAGCAATGGGTGCAAAGTAAAAATTGAAATTGACTGGTCAAATATCATAAGAGCTGTAATGAAAGAAAAGGAACCGGAGTTCTTGAAGTGGAGGTTGCTTCTTTTTTTTCTTTTCTTTTCAAATATGTTGTGAACTATTTTAATTAGAATATTCGAATTTTGTAGCTATCGGAACCACCTAAATTTTATAAGGAACTCGGGCCAAAAGAGGCGGGTGCACATAGCCAATGGGTCGATGGATCGGATTTAACCCGAGGCCAGGCTTCGACATGCAGGTTTGAACGATCTATTTGATTTTAAATGGTTAAAGACATGCTCGTTAAAGTTTGATTATTAAAACGGTACGATTTTGATCGTTTTAGGAGGCATTTCATTATGTTTCCACCAACAATTTTGGACAAACACTTTGAGAGATTAATAAGATTTGATGAGAGATTGTTCATGTTAAGCCAAAGGCCATATCCAACCTTCAATGTCCCTTACTTTCATTCCAAACAATTTTTACAAACTCCTCTTCAAACCCCATTACAATGTCTTCAACACATCATATTCAAATGCTCCAACCTGCTGATGCTGCTCCCAGCCGAATTACACCACGTCCAGGTATGTACTTCAATCTTTTTCGAGTTGGTTAAGTTAGTGACTCGAGCAACTCAAATAGAGTTTACGATCCAATTTAACCTTACCTAATCGTGTATTTTTGGATTGGGTTGAGTTACCTAATGACCCTCGTTTCAAAAAGTAAAAATGTTGTCAATGGTACCTGTATGGAAGATGACCCGAAAATGACGGAAAAACTAAATTATTTATGGGTGGTTAAAAATAACTTAGGGAGAAGTGACACTTAAATCAGTTTCAATTGTGGTTGCCTTTTTCTTACCGTCCCATATAACATCAATTTCAATTTCTCAAATCTTGCTTTCAAAACTCTCTTTCGAAATCTCTTTGTCCCGTTTTCTAAAACCTTCTTCTTGAACCAAGGCAAGAGGCTCAAGCATATGTCGCTTGGCCATAGGCAACGCAAGAACGAATAGACTTAACTCACTTGTTGCTGAGGAGTGAGTGCCGCATAATTGCAAGTCCGCTGTCATCAAACTGCGATCTTTAAGAGGGTCTTATGAGGGGTTGTAAGTTGTTTTTTTTTTTTTTAATTATTTAAAAAAATCTTATTTATTTATCGTCCATATTATATTAAGAGCTAAAATGTCATAAAAATCAAATACCAAATAATATATGTTACGAAAGTCGAATATTATTAATTTTCACTACAATCTTAGAAGTAGGGTAGGTTGGATTGAGTTTATAACTCTATTTCATCGGGTTGACCTGACCGAAAAAATATCAATATATACTAGTGTAACTCCGAATGGGTACTCAAATGGTTGCATATTCTTTCTTTTGTTCTTCATATTCTTCATCTAGACTAGATTGACTTTGTGAGTTGTGATATTGTCATAAATGGTATCAGATCTAAGAGGAATTGAATTTATGTCCTAAAGTCTTGTAATTAATTTTTTATTATTTTATTTACAATTTAACGTTGTTCATGATATGAAAATCAAGGTTATTAATGTAATCTTAAATTCCGGGTGTACATGGTCCGAGTTGTGTTAAGTTGGGTTAGGTTGAGGGATTTTATTTACAATTTAACGTTGGGTCATGTCATATCATACTATCATCAGCATATCATGTAACATCATGTACTACATCACTAAATGTGTCACACATAACATTTATCATATCATCAGTACATCACATATCATACCATTTGTCATAACATTCACATATCATCTCATAGTCACGTTGTATCCCGGACATATCATGTACTTATCCTTTGTAAACATATCATAGTCATATCGTTTCAAAAACATGTCACATCCCTATCGTT